CTTCTTTGCATGTTATTTTTACATTTGACTTTGCATTTGATCTTGCTATAGAGCAACATATTTCCAAATCCATTACACACTTCCTACTTACAAAGATTAAATATGTTCTTCCCAAGAAATGATATTTTTAGTGATGCCAGGAATTGAACACTCTTATTGAAAGAAGTCACGGAAAAAGGAAAAATTCTTTCTGAAGTACACCTGGTAGATTTTTCCTTTCTATGGTTGTCTTTCCACTCTGTTCGTGATGTCTTTTGCTGTTCAAAAATTTTTTAATAAGTTGAAATCCCAGATTTTGATTGTTAGTAATACTTCCTGTGTGACTGAGCTTTTGATCATAAAGTCTTTACCTACTACTATGTTTTCCAAAGTGCTACCAATTATATTATCTAGCACATTTACTTTTTCTATATTAATATTTAGATCTTACAACCATTTTGTTTTTCTTTTAGTGCATAGTGCTAGACATGGACCTTGTTTTAGTCTTTGGCATGTGGAAATCCAGTTTTTCCAGCAGCATTTATCAATGAGGCTATCCTTCTTGCAGGGAACATGTTGGCCCTTTTGTCAAATCAGCTGACTGAGTGTATTTGGAGGTGTTTCTGCATCTTCTAGTCTGTTCCTTTGATACTTGCGTCTGTTTTTTTTTTTTTTTTTAATCACAGTGACTCTGTAGTTTAATTTAAAGTCCAGGATTGTGATGTCCTCTGATTTGCCTTTATTGCTCAGAGCTGCTTTTGCCTTTTTCAGTCTCTTTTGGCTCCAAACAAATTGAAGGAATGTTTTCCCTAGTTCTGTGAGATATGCTAATGGTATTTTGACTGCCATTGATTTACATCTTTAGGAAATTTTGAGAATATGGCCATTACCTTAATGTTGGTTGTTCCTACCCAAGAGCAAGGAATATCTTTCCATTTTCTGATATCCTTTTTGATCTCCTTTTTCAGAAGAGATGTTTTATTTCCATTATTAGGTTGATTCCTATGTATTTATTTTAAATGTTATTATAAATTGCTTTGCTTTCCTAATCTCTTTCTCAGAGAGTTTGTTACTTGTATACAGGAATGCGATATATTTTTGAGTGTTGCTTTTAAATCTAGATACATTGTTGAATTTGCTAATTAAAACTACAAGTTTTCTGGTGGGCTTTTTGGTATCTCCTGTGTAGAGTATCATGTCATTTGCTAATAATCATAATTTAACTTCTTCCTGTCTTACCTATTTTCCTTTTTTTAAAATGTCTCCTTGTTCTGGCCAATTTTCCCTAAATATACAGCATAGGAGTGGTGATAATGAAAATTTTATGTGTGTTTCTGATCTTAGAGTGAAAGCCTTCGGTTTTTGAGCATTTATTGTTATATTGGCTGTTGGTTTCTTATAGAGGCTGCAATTAACTTGAAATAAACACCATCTATTCCAACATTCTATAGCTTTTATTGCTGCCCTTGTAATTTTATTAAAATGTTTGCAGAGTTACTGAATTGGGTGCTCTAAATTTCTGGTATGGTTCAGCTGAGTATCTATCAGAACCTAGAGTATATTTTGTTTGTAGGTTTTAATTACATTTAAGTTATTTAGAATTTATATATCTTCTTGATTCAGCTTTTGAGGCTCTTATGTACCTAGGAATCTGTCTATTTCATCTGTGTTTTCCATTTTATTAGACTCAAAATTCTTGAGGGAGTTATGAATGATGTTAAGAACTTCAGAAATGTCTGTGCGATTTCACTCTTTTCATACCTTTTTAAATTATTTTGTGTCTTTTCATTCCTTTTTTGGATAAGATTAGCTAGGTCTATTAATTTTATTTAGTCTCTCAAAGAACCAACTATTTGATTCTTTTGTTCTTTTGTATTGTTTTCCTAGTCTTACTTGCTTTATTTTTTTCTTTGTTGTTTGAGCTCCTTTTGTCTCTCTGATATCGGTATTGACAGCTATATTTTCCTTTAGGACTGCTTTGCTTCCATCCGATGACTTCCTATATATTCTACCATTATTCTCATTTAGTTTTAGAAGCAGTTTAATTTCTTCCTTAATTTTATCTGTTGCACATTTCTTGTTCAAAACAATGTTATTTAATTTCAATGTGTTTGTGGAATTGCTGTGATTTCTTTTGCCTTTGAATTCCAAATTCATTGTACTATGGTCAGATAGTATGCTTCAGATAGTTTCCATGCCTTTACATTTACATAAGTATGCTTTGTGGTCTATTAAGTGGTGTATTGTAGAAAACACTCCACGTACAGCTGAGAAAAATGTATATTCTCATGTTGTGTGAGACACTCTGCAGACATCTGCTAAACCCACATGCTCCCATATTTGTTTTATTTCTGATATTTTTTGTTGATTTTTGCCTAATTGATCTATCTATTTATGACACTGAGGTGTTAAGGTGCCCCATTACAACTTTTTTTGTGGGTTTTTAATTTTCCATGTCTATTAGTATTGGTTTTGTGTAGTTGGTAGTTCCTGTTTTTGGTGCATATATAATTTTGAATGTTATCTTTTCTTCTTAAAGTTTTCCCTTAATAAGAAGGTAACGACCCTCTGTATCTCTTTGGTTAATCTTGGCTTGAAGTTCACATTTTCTGTAAGTAGAATAGTTTTTTTCCTGGGTTCCTGCTGCATGGAATATTGTTTTCCATATTTTGACTTTCAGTCTTTGAATTTCTTTTGAGTTGAAAGTGTTTCTTGTATACAGCATATTGTTGGATCTTGCTTCTTGCTCCATTCTGACAGTCTGTTTCTTTTGATTCATGAACTGAGTATGTTTACATTGATGGCTATAATTGAAAAGTATTGGCTCATCCTTGTCATATTATTTTCTGCTGTTTGTTCCTGTCTTTTCCCACTGTTTATTTGCTTGTCTAGCCTGGTAACATTTTTCTTCTGGTATTCTTGTTTTTGTATACAATCTTATCTCTTTCTAGTACATCATTCATAATGCATTGTAGAGGTGATCAGCAGTCATAGATTTTTTTCAGTAGATCTTATTGATGGAAGTATCTTATTTCTCCATTGATTCTGGTTCAGAAATTATCTTCTTTTGGGACTTAGAATAGTTCATTCCAAAATCCTTGACTTATAACTTCATGTTGAAAAGTTTACTGTAATTTGCATGCACTTGCCTTTATCATTGATTTGTCTGTTTTATGTAGTGGCTCACAATATTCTTGTGAAAATCTGGATCTTGATTATTATATGATTTGGTCCAGATTTTTTTCATCCAGGCTAATTGGAGTTCTGCATAACTCACTTATTGTTGTCAAATTCTTCCACACTTGGTCTTTTTTTTGCCTATCCTGTTGTGAGTAGCTTTTCCTTTTAAATGTGATTTGTACTGCCTTTTACTTCGACTCTAATCAATACTCTGTTTTTCTTCTTTGCATCGTGTTGCATTGGTGGGATGGTTTATTTGAAGTTCCTTTTTTATTTCCAGGAGATCTTCCTTTTCTTGATTGTTAGCTGAAATCTTGTCTTCTAGGTCTGAAGTTGTTTTCACTTTCGTTCATGTTGATTTCTCAAAAACTCAATGGCATTTTTAATTTGCTGAGTATATGTTTGCGTCTGCGTCACGAATTCCATTTCTTTCCTATGTTAAGCATTTGTGATTGTCATTATTTTCCTATGCTTTTCTGTTTTTATTTATGCTAACTAGGTTTGCTGAGTAAGTCATTCATTATGATCATCAACACTTATTTAATCCTGGAGATTATTTCTGATTTGATTTCCTGTGTAGTCTCATGTACATGTTTTTTAAACTTCTACTGCTATCATTTCAGAAATTTTAGATGAGTGGCCTCCATTTTCCTCTATATTATTATTACTTGGGCTTGTTCTGTGTGGGCTGACATCTTCTGTGTCTTGTCATTTTCTTTGTTTTTGTGTGTTGATGAGTAACTTTCTAACAGTTTTTAACTTTATCACTAATACTGAGGCATTCCTAGGAAACAGCTGTTCTTCTGAAGTGTATTCTATGTGTAGGGGTTTCGTGGGTTTTGTGTCTGTTCCAAGGTCTAAGTGGGATAAGACTGCACTTTTATTGTACAGTAATCATGTTAATGCATTGATGAATTTGAACTGCATCATTTTCCTTTTCAACTATGGATGAACTGAGTATGAATAAGTGTAACCATCAAAGTAGATATCATAGTATTTGAAAAACAGTTTTCCTTTTAAACTGCAGATGATCTGACTATGAATAAGTATAACCTTCAGAGTAGATATCATAGCATTTGAAAAACAGTTTTCCTAAATACACATCAAAGTTTCTTTTCACCCCATACTAGATATGACTAGCATATGAATCTCTTAGAATTCTTTCAGTATCACCATGGCTAAGAAGTTGGTCTAGCGCTTGATTTTTAATGTGATTCTGAATGAGATTGTGCTAAGTGAAAATGTCCTAATTTGGCTCACAGATGGTAGCCATAGGTTAAAGAGGAAGATCATTCTAGAGGAGTTAATTCAAAGAAATGACAGTATAACTGTAATGGCTTCCTGAACAACATTTTCATAATTTTCCATCCTGATCTTTTAGGGAATTTGAAGGGATACATGTTTCTGTCAAGTGCTATGTAGAGTCGTTTATCAAACATACGATGTTAATATGGATGGACCATAAACCAACTCCTCTCACAATATGGAGTTGCTACAGAGAACTAGGAAAACTCAATACTTTTTAAAAAATTCAATGTACAACTCTGTGATTGAGTAATAAACAATCTCATATTCATTGCAGGACTTTGGAAAGGTGGCTTTTGATGTGTTGGTAGCACATGCAGTAATACCATGCAGTAACTAGTCACTCTGAAATTAGAAATTCCATTGATGTACACACTAATGGCCTGCCTAGCCTGCACAGTGGAGAGACAATGTGGGAAAATCCTAGCACCTCCCTCCTATGTACCTGTAGCCTTCTCAGAGATCACTGACCCGATGAATTTGGTGAAAAGGTTAAAAATACTACATTTTATTTTCCGCACATCTGTATATTTCAGCCCGTATGGGGAGAATGGAATTCCTACCACAGCAAAACTCTAGGTAAGTCTCTAAAATGTTTTCTTTAATAACAGCATCTATCTTTATTAGTATTGTTCACAGAAGAAAAGCTTTCCATGTCATTACACAGGCAAAGCTAAAGTAAATGTACTTATTATATCTCTGTTCAATTTCACAGTTATTGACCTTGGATGAATTCCTAGTTGAGAATATTAAGAGGAGTATTATTTGGTATGTTATTTTCTTTTAACACAAATAATCTTGTAGCTATTTATATAGTAATTTTTCAATTTGTAAATAAAGATTAAAAATATAAATACCTGTAGTAGGAAAACATACTATTGCAGAAAATTACTTTATAAAAATTATTGTACATGGCTATATTTTATGTTTCTTTGTATTGTATTAATTTTTTTCAAAGAAAATTATTTTCATTTGTACACTGTAGGTATGCATAATGATCACATTCATCATAGAGATATTGTACCTATCCATGACATGGCTTGATTTTTATTCCATAACTGGGAGATGTTTCAAATTGATGCATAATTTACATTTCCTACCTTTGTCCTTCATCCTTTACTTGTCTGCATTCAATTTTATACATCATAACTTTGAACATTAAGATGCAGTTACAGGTTTCTCTGAATTTGATCATCTACACTCAGGTGTCTTGGGGTGGCTGGGCAAGAATTCCCTGCACACATTTTTTTCTGAATCCTTTGGCAATCCTTCTGTCTCCTAAATTCAAACATTCCATATGAGAATAAAATAAAACAGTGTGAACAATCAAGGCCAGTTCTGGTTGGATAATTCTGCTGCTTCACTTTCTGATGCTCAATGAGCCTTCCTTCTTCATTTGTAAAATAGTGATTCTGTTCCAAATGAGTTTTCTTACAGATATGTGAGTAGAACGCAGTGATGTGAATGAGTGGCATGGATAAAATGTTGATACTTGTTATGTTAGATTGTTAGATAATCGATGAGCCAATATTATTCTGATGATGATTTTGCTGAGGGTTTTGTTCCTGCTTGCTCTCACTTATTCTTGTTTCTGATTGTAAAAATATTTTTTTCTTCAACATTCCAGTTGTTTTCACTTTTCAAGGGGCAGAAAAACAAGTATGAGCAAAACAGGTTTTAAAATGATAAGTTTATATGCCCATTTGGAGTTTACATTAAAATAGGAGGAAAAATATTTCAAGTAAAGTAACTATGATACATTAGACTATCATGTATCCCCTTAAAGGAGACAAACAGTTGTGGAAGTGGGCTCTAAATGCAAACAGAGTAAGTAAGAAGGTCTTAAGTAAAGTGATAACATTTCAAGTAAGACCAGATAGGAAAGACAATGAAATCAAAGCAGATTTTTGAAAGAAAATCATTTCGTGCTTGGAAAATAACAAATGCACTAATGTATGGTCAGTCATGCATGCAGTATCTGCCTGTGTCTGATGTGATATGCACCCCAGAAGTCACAAGCAAAAAGCAAACAATCAGTTCCTTGCTTTTACATTGATATGTTGTCAATCATTTTTGCATGACTGAAATGTTTGAAACTCATGAGAGAATATTATAGTGGAAGGATTTTGAATGTATTATACATATGAAAATACGTAGAAGGGGATTGAAATTTACATGTAATCATTTGAAAGTATTGTCATTAGGAGTTTATACTCCAATTGTGTATTTTCATATTCTTTATAGAGTAGTTTTCAGTTTTTATTTGATTTTGAAATTTATATGCCTCAAAACACACTTGGTTTAAATGTAAATGTTATTCTCATGATTGTATCTCAAGACCTGTAAATGAGTTCTATAATAATTATCATTTTCGGTATGGGTATCACACACTGATTATTGTAAGTACTGAATGATATTACAAGACATATTCTTAAAAAAAAAAAAAAAAAAGATTACAAAGGTGATGAAATGTCCTGAAACACTTTAGGTTCTGGGTCTCTATTCACTTGCTTACACTCTGACCTGAGGATAGTTATAGTTGCCAAGTTCCTCTTTAAAACTGGATTAAATTCACTCTGTACTTTAGGATGATCATGTGACATATCTGCTATGAACCTGTATTATTCATACCAAAGTACACAGGGACTCTTCTAATACAAAGTCCTAATTATAATATCATGTGGATCTGTATACAGAAATTTTTCAATAAATATCTGCAAATCTAAATAGCTTCTTGTGTATATATTAAATCTGCTTTCTAAAGGACTCTCTGATAAATTATATAACATGTAAAAAAGATTTGTAAAACCAACAATTTCAGTTTCTCGTCTTACAGGACAATCTACCTTTAGATATTTTAACTTTTGAGAAACTGTATACTGATATAAATCGTCAATGATTTTCATGTGACTAAGCATATTTGTCAAAAAATGACTACCTGGAATATTTTCTTTAAAATTAAATGTACAACAAAGAACCTAGTAAAATCCAATTTTTCATTTGTTTTATACTATATTTCTAATGTTTCACCAATACTGAGACCCTTTACACTGACACTGAAATAGGATAGATACTTTACTTTCTACTGTATGTGTGAAGAACAGTGGATTTTAGATGGGAAAATTACACTAGAAAAATGACAAGTAGAACTACAATGTAGGAAACCCTAATTTCATCACACATAGTTGTAGCAAGAATCTATCTAAGTACATTTGTGCTAAATGCTATTTTGTACTCTTGGGGCAAGTTCTTAACTCGTGGTGAAATGAATAAAATTCAATATTTATAAAATGCCTATAAGAGATGACACAAGAGGAACTTTATGGAAGATGGAGTATCAAGGAGTGAAGCTGTTCACAAAGCTTGACCAGGTTGATGTTCTGTGTGACACATTCAAATTTCATTAACCTCGGACTGGAAAGAGGTAAAAAACTTGTCTCTCAAAGTTAAAATGTGTATATGCATGCGTGCATGTGAGTGTGTGTGTGTGTGTTTGAATGAGTTATTACAAGTGTTGCTAATGGGGATATAAGTGAGTGACATCATAGTGTGTATTGCCAAATCTCCTCACTTACTTGTGTGAAGAAGTTTTGGTAGAAATAGAGCTGGTAACCTTGGTATTAATCTAGGTTCTCACACTGAATCATAAATTTTTGGGTAAACAACAGAGAAAGAAATTGGCTTTGCCAATAAAGACTACTGAAAATATGTAATAGGATAATTAATGCAAAAGTGCTTTGTGAGTACGGACTTAAATGCAGAGGCAAATTATTAGGAAATATGTTTCTTTTCCCACATATGACATGCAAAAGATATGTAACTGTATTATAAATATTAACAAAAAGTGGATATACTGAAGCATTATATACCTTGCAGTAGTATATTCTCTTCAAATAAAATCAAAGTTCAGATTTAAAAACATTACTATATATAGAAACAAACTCTTTAATATTTCTAATCTAGAAATACAATACAGTACAGTCTTTTTCTGTCTTTGTTAGAATCTTGGCACATCTATCCACATTCTTTCTGGACTTTGAGGTTTGCCTGAATGTTTGTGATTGACAAGTGTATTAGGATGGCCTTATAGAATTGGAATTTACTGTTAATAACCAAGTAAAGGGAACATGTGTGATTTATACTTTAAATAGGCATCTTTGTGCCGCTATTCCTTATCTCGTTTTATTTTCTCAGAGGTGGGTGAGGGAGATGGTTACCTTGGCCTTTGATGTTCCTGGCTTTATTCTTCTTCTGCATGTCAATTATTCCTATTTGATTCTTAGGTTAACTGTGATGTTACCTTAGGTTAATTGTGATGTTACCTGACAGTTTCCAGGGTGGATACCCTCTCTTTACCTTTGTCTTTCTAAGTCCTTGAGTCTAACATCAAAGGCAAAAAGCAGCTATTAGTTAGATTTCCTATTAATTTCTTTAATAAAACAATGGGATCAAGATATTAAATGAAAGAAACAGCACTTTACCTAATATTTTACCTTTTAATAGGTTACCATTGAAGAAGAATGCACAATCTATAGAGGTACCTAACAAGTTATTAATATCTAGCCTTTAAGTGTTGTGTGTGACATTATCTGGACTGCAGAGTTTGTGCTTCTCCAAGTACTATAACAGATTCATAACATTTACATCACATAAGCTTTGAAAAGGTGTC